GTCCTTTACGTTTAGTATAGTAGGGTAAGAGTAAGTAAAATTTGAATAATAAAGTTGAATTGTAGATTTAAGTAAAAAAGTGAAGAGTGATAGAGTACGAATGATTTCATTTTCAAAAAAGAAATGTGACATTTATTTTAGAATAGCTGAAAAAGAAAATGCCTAATTAGTAATTACTACGGAGTATATACTATCATATGTAATATTTTGGAATAAGGAAGTAAGTTTGTGCTACTCCTCTCGGATCGATTCTTAAGAATAAAATCCACATTAATAAAGACTAATAATTATATAATTATACAGAGAGTATTTCACCTTAAAATTCTTAAAGGCAAATTGTAATTTAAGTTCCTCAAATAGTGTTGATATTGAAATATAAATCCTATGTTCTAAACTGTGTAAATGTCACCCTTCAATTAGCTGGATGTATGCATGCAAACGTGGTCCTCGCTCACATCGTAGATGTCCCTCCTCCAAAAGAACGTATTTGCCAATTCTAAATATATGAAGGTATTAGAAAAAGGTCTTCAAGGATTTTAAGCCTTTCCTTCATGGGCATGCTTATCTTTATTTTCAACCATAAATCTGTGTTGAATGTAGGGATGGACCCGGGCCGGTCCGGTTCCAGGCCGTGCCCGGGCGGGCTTTTTTCCTTGGTACTTGGGCCCGGAACTGGCCCGGGTTGATACCGGGTCCGGGCCTAACCAGGCCGGGCCAGGCCCGGTTCAATATTTAAATTTTTTTTGGCTTTCTTGTTATCCCCCAACCCCCCCCCCCCCCCCCCCCTTCACCTCCAACCCCAAACCTCCCCAAAACACCAAGCTCTACCCTAGGAAAAGAAAAAAAATTGAAAAAAAAAGCCCGGGCCGGTTCAACAAAAATGGGCCCGAGTCCGGCCCGCTCGACCCGCCAAAATGGGCTAAAAGCCCGGAATCGGCCAACCGGGCCTGGGCCGGTCCGGTTCCGAGCCGGTCCGGTTCTGGTCCGGTCCGGTTCTTGGCCAGTTCGGCCGGGCCCAGTCCATCCCTAGTTGAATGCACCAAATTATTCCCAACATGATATATACATTTAAGGATTTAGACCGAAGCGTTTAATTGAAAAACGCTTCAAACCATTTTTCATTTATTTGATAATTAGATTTGTTCATAAAAGGAGTTTTACACATAATTAACTACTACCTGCGTCCCTTAAAACTTTGCCAAAGTCGACCGGCACGGAGAATAATAAAGTAAAAACTGTGTGGTTGAGGTTTGTACAGAGGAGAGAGAAATAACAGAAACCACAAAATAATTGATTAAAATGGAAAGTTGCAAAGTTTTTTGGGACGTCCCAAAAAGAAAAGATGGTAAAGTTTTAAGGGACAGGTGGAGTATAACACATGAGATTTGACGTATTTTTATAATCACGTGATGCAAATGTGTCGATTTTATATTTTACGAGAGATTTTGGCATATTAAATCTCATAACTCTCCTAGCTATACTTCAAAAATCAATCATATTTATGTACAACTTTGCTTGGTGTACACCTTTTGTGTACACTTTTTGTGTACACATGTCTGTCCCCAGCAGACGAGTTGTCTGGCCACATATAACTTTACAGAGTTATATGTGAACAGACAACTCATCTGGTGAGAATAGACGTGTGTACACAAGTTTACACGTAAAACATTTTTCAAGTTTAAATAGCACCCCATAAAGTTTTTAGGATAAAGTTTAAATAGTACCCTATCAATCACATGATGCAAAAATACTCCCTAGACAGCTAGTAGTTGTCTTTTGTGCAAATATATGGTCCACTCGGTGTAGATTGGCCAGCGTGAACTACGATAACAGTTTTGCCTGGTTCAAAAAGGAACTTTGCCATAATTCACGTGAACGTAGCTTTTAATAATAATACTCCGTAATATCCTAAAATGGATAAAATATTAAGATTCCCATGAATGATTTAGAACCCATCCGGTGACAACGTGTTTTCGTTTATCAGGCTTATCAATCAACTATTTTTACGAAATACATAATTTTTTATTTTTCACGCTAAATTATATAATACTCCCTCCGTCCCAATTTGATAGTCTCATTTCTTTTAGGCACAAGTTTTAATAAAGTGGTTGAAAAAGTAAAATCGTATTTGAGATTTGAGTATAATAAAGTGAAATGATATGGACCACATCTTTCTTTCCAAAAAGAGAAACACCACCATCATTTTGGACATCCTAAAAAGGAAATACAGAGCTATCATTTTGGGACGGAGGCAGTAATGAAAAAAGTAATTCTAAAGTTACTTTTTTTGCTGTATTGATTGAAATTAATGTAGAGGATCATTTTTAGCTATTTTTTCATATAATCCTTTCTTTATTTATTGATAAATAATATTTTAAATGTAATGTATTAATAAAACAGTAGAATCAGCCAATCCAACTACTTCAGTCAGAAATTCATAAATTTTAGAAAAATAAACCAATTCATAAATATGCGATTCAGTCAAAGAACAATTTTGAAACCTCTTTTTGTAGATGATGTAATCATTCTTCAGCTCATGCGAATCTCTTTTTTATACCCCTTTGGTGATCATGTGTTTTGGTTTACAAAAATGATGTTTTTACACGCTCTTATACACACTTTTGTACACACCTATATCTGTGAAAGCTTTTTTTTGTCAGTGAACATTGATTCACAGACAATGTTTTACACAAACAAAATATTGTCTGTGAACCGGATTCACAAACAAAAAAAAACTTCACAAACATGGTGTGTATAAGGTGTGTACAAGGGTGTGTACATCAAGAATGGTTGTTTGGTTTATCAAGCTTATCAATGAACTAGTTTTACAAAGTACATGGTTTTTGATTTCGCACGCTAAATTATATAATACTCCCTCCGTCCCAATTTGATAGTCTCATTTCTTTTGGGCACAAGTTTTAATAAAATAGTTGAAAAAGTAAAGTTGTGGTTGAGATTTGGGTATAATAAAGTAAAATGATATAGACCACAACTTTCTTTCGAAAAAGAGAAACAGGATCATTATTTTGGACATCCCAAAAAGGAAATACAAGACTATCATTTTGGGACGGGGGAGTAATGAAAAAAGTAATTCTAAAATTACTTTTTTGGCCGTATTGATTGAAGTTAATGTAGATAATCATTTAGCTATTTTTTCATATAATCCTTTCTTTATTTATTGATAAATAATATTTCCATTCAACAATAGAATATGCAATCCAACTACTTCAGGCAGAAATTCATAAATTTCAGATAAATAAACCAATTCATAAATATGTGATTCAATCAAAGAGCAATTTTGAAATCTCTTTTTGTAGATGATTTGTGAATCATAGAAATCTCTTTTTTATAGTAACTAGACTATTCCGAGTTGCATCGTAAGCCAATTGTTAAACTATTTACTATATTAATACTCCCTCCCTCCCTTCAAACTTTGTTATCTTTCCGTTTTTAAACGTCCCAAAAAACTGTCACTTCTCCTTTTATTCAATTATTTTATGATTTCTCTTATTTCTCTCTCCTCTCATAAATCTCAACAACACAATTTTTACTTTATTATTCTCCGTGTCGGTCAATTTTGACAAAGTTTAAGGGATGAAGGTAGTATAGTTCTTGAGTTTAGGTTCCAAAAAATTAAAAAATAAACCGCCCGGTCCTTTACTCGTCGGGCTATACATCTATACTCCGTATGTTTTAATTGAAGTTTAAAATAAAGTTACTTCCTCGGAATGTGTGTATCAAAATATGATCACATTCTTTTTTTTTCGCCTCAATTTTTATGATAGCCGCATATTATATGAATAGCTTAATGTGTGTGTTTTTCTTGTTTTTCGGGTCTATCCGAAGAAAACGCATGGAAATGTACATGGAGGACATGATATGGACAAAGAACACCAGATGCATGCATACACTAATTAATTAAACAACGTAGGAAAACGCCTAGCTACAAGAAAAAGCAATGAAGCTTAATCAATGCAGGCCGGCCGGGACAAACATGCATAATTATTGATCAAAGTGGGATCTTAATTAATTTATTCGAGCAGTAGGTAGCATGCAGCAGTGACGTGGCCGCAGGTACGTACGAGCTAGAAGCATGCACCGGAGTTAGTTAGCGGCGGCGGTGACCATATCCAAGAAAGAAGCACCGATGGAGTCGGCAATGCACCAGCCGTGCTGGATGTGTGGGTTGGGGAAGCGGGCGCAGTGGTTGCCGCTTCCCTTGCGGAGGCAGTCGGCGTCGGCCTGGCACAGGTTGGGGTGCTCCTCGATCTTCTTCGCGTACGACGGCATCGCGTTCGGGTGGATGCACTGCCCCGCAACCAGCCCCCACGGGACGCACCGGCAGTCCACCGAGTTGCCGCACGGCGGCATCTCGAACGGCGAGCAAACTGAACGGCCGTTGCATTCCGCCGCGCCCTTCCCCGCCAACATCACTGCCAAAACAAAAATAGATAACATTTAATTATTATTATAACAACATCATCGAGTTGGCTAGCTTATTAGTTGCATATATATAGTATACATAAACGCTACGTACAGGCAGATGCGAGGAAGAAAACAGCGAAAGGAGCAAAGTGCAGCTGCTGCTTAGAAGCCATTGTTTTTCTTTCTTTTTTTATCAGTCTCTCACTCACTACACACTCTTTGCGTGCTTCATCGGCCTATTTCAGTTCGCTATTTATAGGCCGGCCGCATCAATGCACGCGCGAGTAAATGTGGCGCGTAATGGATCGGCTTCACGAGAATTCAATTTGTTGAGCGAATCTTTTCACTGCTTTTCATACTACGATGGACTCTTTTTCATGCCATTCCCAGTGGGCTGTGGCTCGTCCAATCATGCATGTACGTGGCTCCAGCTAACTGGATGATCGATTGATAAATCCAAACACACCCTCCATCGCATATCTTATCTCTGCAACATCCGTACGTTAAAATCCTTATTCATCATGAAACCCACAGGTCGCACACTGTAGCTCTAAGCTTTTCAATTTATTTACTTGGTCCAAAAGGTTGAATGCCCAACCCCAAGCCCCCATCCCGACCCGACAGGTTGTTGGGAGGTTAATCACGATGATTCAGTCAGTAAAGCAGTGGTAAGCCTTATACACGTGTGCATTAGAGATTCAGCTTTATTTCAGGTTCTGTAACCTTCACACGGTCACTGCTGATTTCGAACTTTGGTCACTTGGTCAAGTTTTTCAATCACTCGACCAACTGAGTTAATCGTGCGGGTTAGTTTCATGTTTATATTTCAAAATTCATATTATCATCTTTTTAAATCGTAATCGACCAATTTTCATGTATGTGAATAAAGAAATGTAATCATTAACCCACTAGTATCATTCATTCTAAGAAATTAAAAAAATAGATTTTGACAATTTAAAATAAATCGTCAAATGCTGAAAAGGGGAGATAGAATCACGTGAATATGGAGTGGCACAAGCATTTGATCAGACGTGTTCGACTGTTGCTGATAGGGTTCCTTCTGAGAAACAATCTCAAGAATTGGCTATGTCGCAGGCTTTTTGTGAAGATATTGAAGCTAAGAGATCTCAAAACCAAGTGGCATTACTTGATGATGAGAAGTAATCCTAACTACTGCAAATATCATAGAGTGTTGAGTCATCCAATAGAGAAGTGTTGGGTGTTCAAAGAAAAGATTATGGCTTTAGCCCGTGAAGGAAAGATTGAACTTGCTGATTCTACAGCAAGCACAAATCAAATTACCACACTACAACAAAATGAACCTTTTGCAACGCCTCTAAACTGTTACATTAAATTGTTAATGTGTTACAAAAGGCTAATGTAACACTTATATGAGCGTTACTTCAGGTCTCGTTGCATAAAGTCATATGCAACACTTTGTAATATGTTATGCAACACTTTATATAAATGTTGCAAAAATAACCCAAATGCAACACTTTTTCTGATTATTTAACATGCATCTTATGCTACATTTTTTTAAATAAAATGCAACATCAATCTTTTATTTATGTAACATTTCTATTATACTAGTTTGCAACATTTTTTATATATAAGGTAACATTTATAAGACTTATATGCAACACTTCTATAGTGTTTTAAGTAACCGTCTTCACTCTCGTCATTAACATGTTGCGCAACACCATTTTTATATTTTTAACAATTAATTAGATGGCTTTGACTTTCATTGTACTCCGTATGTATTACTCAAATCACATATTTTAATATTTCAATATACAATAACACTTTCAATAATATTAAGGGTAATAAATATTTAACATTGAAGAAAGTGTAATCATAACACCTTCAGATTGAGCATCAACGTTTTAAAAGAGTGCGTACATGAGTACATCCATATACAGAGTAATCTAAATTCACGGTGTACGGAATGAACTAGAAATCTAAAATACATCATAAAAAGCTAGTGACTATAACAAGGATCGGAAATGACAATAACGGACTCCATTATATGCCCAATTCATGGATCCCGCTCTTCCTAAAGACGATACTCATCACCCCTAGCATGTCCCTGCGAGAGAAATCAAAAGATAAAGTAAGAAAACAGAAAATAAACACATCACAAGTTAATACAAGGAATTACAAAAAGATAAATATAATGACAATTAAAATTTTAAATCGTTTATATGACACATATGAGTAAAGAAGGGACAAGTGAACAACTTGTGACTTCCAAGAGTTAATAACTTCATCAAGTTAATCAGATAGCAACTTCAAGTTAATAACATACATCATTCATCAAGTACTCTTAACAAAATCCAAATATTATAGTGTACCAACAACCTATAAGATCCAGTTAAGTAATTTACTCTATTGTGAACGTATTGCATCTACGGTTTTTGTCTGTGGTCAATCTATGATCATTTACTGCTTTGAGCATTTCTCCTAATAGTCCAAAAAAATACACTTTAAATACTAACTAAGTTCAACTAAATATTTATAATAATAATAATAATAATAATAATAATAATAATAACAATGTAAATCTTAAACTTAGGTAATCCAAAATTTTACAGTCTAAAGAATACAAAGCTAAGAAAAGATGCATGAGCTTATTTCCCCTCAATCATGTCCCTTTATATTTGAATGCACCCCAAGAGGAGTATGCACATTAATATTTGTTGATATAAATTACCAAGAACAAGAATTAATGGTTATACCTTCCAGAATTGCATCAATTGGCCAGCATCCTATTTCAATTGAACAACTCTGTTATGTCTCAGCACCCCACCACTAATGAAAGGAGAAGAGGAAAAAGTGTGAGTGATAACAGAACATAAAAGGGGACATTATCGTATCAAATCAAAAATTATACTCGTTACCTACAATCATAATATATTGTATTGTGATATTAAAAATAGCAGCTTGGTAGAAACTGCATCAAGTTGGCCATAGTAAATGTAAATAATTGTTTATATGAACTCTCATAAATGTAACTCAAGAATCATCAACTTTTCAATACCTGCACTTTTCATCATCATAATTTAACTATTTTAAACCTTGTTGAGAACATATTAGTTAAGTAAGAAGAAAACTCAACTTATTAGGCAAGATCTTGGTGTTTATTTCACTAATGAAGGTTGAAAGCCAGATATATTGGTGGTTACAAAGCTGATAGGTTTGAGAATATAGGGCACAAAATAAAAAGTGAAATTGGACGCAATTTCAGAACTTGGAATAAAAAAACTAATTCATTAATTGAGATAACGTCACTGACCAAATTAATCCAACACTAGCACTACCATAATTAAGATGCCAAAAGGAAGCCTTGACTATCTCCTTTGAAGGAAGTTGTAATCATCACTTCATTAACACTTTAATTCAAAATGGAAGGAATGTTAAACATGAAAGTTAATGTCATGACATAGAATTAAAATCACAAAATCTCAAACACTAAATGAATGGATTGACATGTATGACTAAAACAATGCAAAAGATGACTAATGAACGGAAGGTTATATTAAGGTCAAGGTTTAATTTGCACTAGATTTTTTGAAGAAGTGTCATAGGGATGATTATCAAACCAAAAACTTACTAAAGGGTTTTTTCAATGTCTCATGCACCATAAAAAATTCTGCTTCTACTGAAAAAATCTTGTACCGATATCCCTTTACCCCTAAAGTAGAGGAAATTAAATGGTAGATGTTTCGTAATCCTATTTATGATTATTAAATAATTTATCAAAAAAAATCACAAGGTGCTACTGTTTGAGTTTTACAAAGGTGTATGACATCAGTTCAAAGAAAATATCACAGAGACATTTTAACAAACAGATTGCAGACATTCAACAATTGGTATAATTGTAACCAAGTATGGCCATTTTTGGGGTCTTCATTCTTAGATTGGTAAGATTCAAGTTCTATCTCAATTCTCAAATTCAAAGTGAATTAACAAATCCTAATAGAAGGTATACAAAAATCGAAGAAAAAGTATAAAACAAATCAAATTTCTAATGCAAAGTTTGGTTTAAAAGCATTTTTACCAAAATATGGATGTAGAGCACCGAAGGAAGTTGAAACAGCGGAGGAGCAGTAGGCGGGTGAGATCGAGGATCGAGTGGCGGCCGACTCATGACAGCGATTTTGCCTCTGGTTTCAGTCGAGACTGCACTTCATTCGTGTTTGCGAGCCTGCGGGTGTCTGCTGTTTACATCTTCGACCAAAGGTTTATGGAAATCGAAGACAAAGTATACAAATTGAAAACCTAATGCATATTATAAAATCATTTTACCTGAATATGGAATGAGGGCAAAGGAGGAAGGTGACATAGCGGAGGGCGGAAGGTGGAGTAGCAGCGGTTGGCGGAGGAGAGGCGGTAGCGCGCTAGGCGGAGGAGAGGCGGCACGCGCAGGAGCGGCGGTTTTCGGCACGGTTCTGGTTTCTGGCTTTCTACTTTTGCATTTGGGTCTAAGATGATTCTGGCTTTCCCCAGATCTACTGGATTAGTAGTATTGTTCTTTATAAAAATTCTCATTTTAAGCAAATTAGGAAGAGAGTGGGATTAAATTAGGGAGTATTATAAAGAGTATGATGAAAATATACTTATGGCCGTTAAATTAAACATTTTTTTTTACTTTTTTTTTAGAAAAATGTATGTGTTGCATCTAATTAGTACTAGGTATGATTTATAATTATATTTATTGTTTTTAGCAACACTTTGAAAATAAATGTTACGTAATGCTTAATAGTTGTAACAATTTTTAATAAGTGTTGCATAATTTGAATAGTTTAAATGTTTTGCAACACTTATATATAAATGTTGCATAATGTCAACGGTTGATACTATATGTAACAATAATAAAAGTGTTACAAAGTAAATGTTACAAAAGGTCATTTTTGTTGTAGTGCCATTACATTTGGTAGGTTTGCTCCGCTCATGGTCGACGATGACCTAAATTCTCACAAGCATAAGCTCCCTTTTACTGTCAAGGGAATGAAAGGATGTCCGCCTCTCACCAAAAGAATGGCACTCGAGGATGTCGATGACAAAGGGAGACCATGGATCTTGATAACTCGAAAGAAGCAAAGGAAGAATCATGAACCTAAACCACAACCGAAGAAGGTGATAAAGAAATGGGTTAGGCGACAACCGATAAATGAATTGAAGAAAAGGAAGCAAAGGAAGGATCATGTTCGTCCCAAGGTTGCACGAAGAGTAATTACTCTCAACGATTATATGCCAAAGGACTTCAAGAGCAAGAAAACTCAAATATCAAGTTCTTGCCTGAGCACCCATGAAAAAGACGTTGATAGTTCAAATAGGGGTTTATCTCCAGTTTCGAATAAAGAGGAGGTGGCTGGAGCACAAAGATCTACTTCATACGCCACTAACATTGTCTTTAAAGATGAAGATCTTATGTTGGGTGCTACTCCCCATAACCGTCCGCTTTTTGTTGAAGGATACACTCGTGGACGAAGATTCAGAAGAATTATGATAGATCAAGGGTCTGCCGTTAACATCTTAACGGTTCAAGCTATGAAAGATCTTGATATATCAATGGATGAACTCTCCCAAAGTCGCTTAATGATTCAAGGCTTTAATCAAGGGGGGCAAAGAGCGATTGGAATGATCCGTATTGATTTGGTCATCGGCGGGTTGAAAGCAAGTACTTTATGTCACGTCATTGATGCAAAGGCTTCATATAATCTCCTTCTAGGTCGTCCATGGATCCATGAGAACGGTGTGATTCCTTCAACATGGCATCAATGCTTCATGTATGAGGAGAACGGTGTTGTAAAGAAGGTAGTGGCCGATGAAACTCCATTCACAGAAGCCGAGACATACTTTGGAGACGCAATGTTTTACCAGAAGCCCAAAATTTCTGAAGAAGATGATATTAGACAGGAAGAAGTATATCACCCCTTGACTCAACCAAAGCTGAAAGGGAAAGTTGTTGAAGGCGTAGAAGGGCTTACGTTCCCTCTTGCAAAGATCGAGATATCAAGGCCTCCTCAAGACACGTCTCAGGAAGAAATAAAGCACAAGGATGATGTTAAGGAGTTTCAAATCCCCAAGGCACGCACTAATGAAGGATTTGACCCAAATGCATACAAACTTCTAGCCAAGGCTGGGTATAATCCTAATGAACGGAAGTTAGGAAAACTCATTCCAGAAGCTGGTGGAGAAGGACCATCGAAGCAGATCAATCTTCGAGGACATACAGGGTTGGGTTACGTTCAGCCTAAACCCATAAGAATCCTCATAAATAGAGCTACAACGCATCATATCAGTGCGGATGAAGAAGATGAGGTGAC